CAAATTCATTCAGAAATAGTAAAAACTAAGTCTTATCTTTCAAAGAAGCTTGATACTAAAAGTTAACTTGCGTTATCTCTCCTTAGTGTTGTCTTTCAAGAATAGATCAGAAAATTCCGGAACACTTATCGCGCAAAATTTGAAATAAAATCAATCAGTTGGGGCCTCAAATTCCTTGAATATTTCACAACGCAACCAACAAATACCCCGAAAAAAGTTCACCACTGATGTAAATAGTTCACTACCGCCTAGTATTTTTGAAGCCTCGCCTTCAGAATTCCGTGAAAAAAATGAGAACTTGACGGCATAACTATAGGAAACATATACTTAAATGCTTCAGCAATGCCAGTCGGAAACGATACGTGTTACTGGCTGGAAGTGGAAAAAAACAAAAAAATGTAAAAAAATGCTATCATACTTCAATGCATGGAATCCTTTAAATCATTACTCAATGTATAACTTTGAGAACTGAAGTGACACAATGTCAAACTAGAAAGAATTTCAAAAGAAAAATAAGTAAGTAAAAAGAATAGAAGAAGAAAAATTCGATTTCAGAAAATAAGCTCAATGAGGCATGCCAAAGAACTAAAGCATTTAAACTTCTAAGAATAAAATGAAAACCACCAGAAGTGCTGAAGATATGCAACTTTTTTTAAAAAATGACAGCAACAGTCCTAAATCCTACTTTCATACACAAGCACAAACCTTCTATAAGAAGTTTACGAAAATCCAGCACCAAAAATAGCAAACGCTGAAAAACATAGAAGTAAATGTTTGCCCAAAAATATGAATTCAGAGGAAAAAAAAAAGCACTCAAAAGTAATTTCCTGAGCAGGCTTACTGCAGTCAGTTCAATCTGTTTGTTAAATTTGTTGACAACAAGAAAATGTTGTTGTTTGTTAATTATACCTGAAATGTAAGAATAGATGTAAAAATTCTTCTTAACTGTCGGAAAAAAATCAAGAACAAATTCTGATTCTAAGACCGTTTTTGAAAATAAAATTAGTGGGGAAAAAGTGAAGGAACTACCAAGCCACAAAAAATGTCACCAAATTGAACAAAAAACGAGGCAATAATTTAACCATCAAAAAAATTTTAATAAGAAGTGCTCAGATGAAAAAGAGCAATTTAATGATTAAGTAGCACCGTTCAAGGAATTCTGAGACCAAATCATAAATTTAGCACATTTATTATTTGGAAACATACAAAAATCCTGTAAAAAATTCAGAGAAAACTTACTAATAAGAAACAAAATAAGATCAGCGAGACAAATTTTGCAAAGGAAGGGAAAAAACAAGGGGAATGACGCGAATGAAATATTATAAAATATCTGCAACCAAAGCACGGCAAAAAAAGCTCTTTAACAAACAAGAAAAGTGAAAATTAGTAAAAAAAATTCTATTTAGTCTACAAATATGTTACCAACTGAGCACTTACTTTTGCTTACAACTTTAAGCGGTGCCTTAGCCAAGTTGCTGCCATGGCCATTCAAAGTCGAGCAAGTATAATAACCAGCATCTGACGGCTCAACTCCTTTAATAACCAACTGCGCATCCTCTAAAACTTTAATTCGCCCGTCAGGAGACCCTCGTCCAGGAAAGTAAAGTTCCTACAAATGAAAATATCACAATTCAAAAGCAAAATAAGAGACATAAAAAAAGCACTGCAAAAAAATACTAAAAACATCTTTAAAAGCACAAAAGACATCAAAAACAAAAGTGTTTACTACAAATATTCAATAAATTTTCACTTGTTCAAAAACTCTATGAAGGATTTTAAGTTTCGTGACATAAGGCCCAAATCTACCACTATTTCAATGTACTGGAATAATTGGTCTTTTTCTCAAAAACGTTTCCGCAAAAAAGAAGTTAAAAATGTACTGAACCTCCTAACTCTGACACTAGATTTTCAACGCCCTTCACTACTTTTAGAGAACAATCTATAAAACAGTGGCCAACGAAAATCTCTGTTCCCGTTACTGTATTGCCAACTGTAAAAGTTTCGACATTTTTAAACGACTGACACATGGAAGGAAACTATGCCCCATTAGAAAAGTAGCCAACGAAAAAAATCTACTGAAAATACCTGTTGTCCTTCCCGTAACCAAAAAAGTGCCGGTGTAGGATGACCCTTAACTTTACAGTGAAACGTCGCAGTACCGCCTCTCTCAACAGTAACTTCAACAGGTTTCACCAAAAACTGTGGTTGTTCATAAACTTCCAACCTGGCAGACTCCTCAATCACTCCTGCTGGATTCTTTGCTATGCATATATATTCACCCTCATCTGCTACCTCAACTCTGAAATACATATTGAAAATCTTTGAAAACTCGGTACCCCACTTCCGTACCGATAATGAAGCAAAGTTTTTCGATTGAAGTCCTTTCATTAAGACGAAGTCCTACACAGCAATTTACTGTAAGGCAAAAAATAAAAATAAAACTCTTTATACAGATCTTCTCTCCATAGACTTTTTTAGAATGCGTTTTTTTGGAACACTAACTTTTCTACAGTTAAGCCATCGTTGCCTTTAGAAATATATGCACGTCCAACAGGCATCGCACTGTCTCGCTTCTTCCATGAAATAGCTGGCATTGGATCTCCAGAAACCCGACAGTCAAATTTAGCTGTACGCCCAACTTCAACCGACAATCCCCTTGGTTTCGTCTTAAATCTTTTTTCTCAGATTTAAGCAAAAGGTGACTATAGTTTTCCAAAAGTAATTAAACTTTACCACAAAATAAGGTTTCTCATAAACTGACAGCTTCACTGGATTAGAAACTTTTTCACCAACCATATTTCTAGCAACGCACTGGTACATCCCAGCGTCTTTCCGTTCCACCTTAAGGCAATCAAAAAATGATTAAAAAAAACGAATAAAATTTAGAACAAGTTAGTACAGAAAAATAAGTTACATTAATTCTTTTAAAAAGGACCAACATTTTTAATGACCAGATTCCCCGGAAGATTCAAGGAAATTCTCCCATTCCCCGTTACCAAAAGCTCCTGTTCGTTTTTTCGCCAGCTAACAACCGGTTCAGGAAACCCATGAGGTGGAGAGCACTCCAAAATTGCATTCTGCCCCAGAACAGCCTGAATAAATCTTATAAAAATAAAACCAAATAGGTTTTAACTTTGAAATTAATTTAGACGTTACATCTCCAATTATTGATGATATATCACCTGAACTCCTCTTGGCCTAGTTCGAAAATCGTCTAGCAGTAAAGCTATCCTTAAAGAAGCTTCCCGCGACTTGGCGGTGCCATAAGCATTTTTTGCAACGCAATAGTACGTTCCAGCATCACTATCGTTTTTTCCTTAAAGAATAAAGATTTTACTTCTTGGAAAGCCTTTAAAAAACACCGACTTTACCTTACAGCATCGATAAAACTGGAAAAAGTAGATGAAAAATTTGCAATTATCGATAAGTCGGGAACATACAAACTCAGATGCTGATTGTCGGCCAGAAAATAGAGAATTAATCAGAAAACTAACCGCCATTAACCCTCAAGAGGAAAAGCGCCCCATTTTGCAGAATTAATCTATGAGACTGGCTGTCTTCTTTATTAGTTCTTACAGGTTTATCGTCTTTATACCACGAAAATTGTACATCTGGACCTTTAGCGCCACAATTTAGCGTTGCTGGTTCGCCCTTACCAATTATAGCGTCAAGTGGGTGTTCGGTTATAGAAGGTTTCAAGCTGTCTAAAAACAAGATTATTAATTTCAAAGAAATAATGAAAATTTGGCAAAACCAGTCACATTACAATGTCCGTTTTGCCTCATCCAATAAGCTGCTTTCGAAATTGATTATTTTATTTCTGCAAGATAAGAAAAAGAAAAGACAAGGTAATTACAAAAAAAGATTATATTCTTGAAAGTTATAATCTCCTTTAAAAAATTATTAACATTTTAAAATTATAAAAAAGGCAGAATCAGATGTTTCAAATAAAAATACAAACCAAATGCAATAACGCTCTGAACGATACCTGTTTCATCGCAGTGAACAAAAGTAGCTAGCAAAACGCAGAAAAGAAACCACGTATATGAACAGGTTCGAGAAGTGGCGAGGTCACGCATAGTGACCTCCCAATACAAAAATGACCTTCTCTAATTCAGATTTATAAAATAATTTAGGCTTTAAATATTTAATAGTTGACTGCAATAAATGAATCAACATCGAAACAAAAGTGTGAAGACCTGTAATATCATACAGGCTTACATCAGCCAGATAGTTCGCAGCCAATAGTAGTACTAAAAAATCGCCTTGTAGATGCTGAAAATGATGTAAATAAAAAACCTGAATTCCACGTAAACCAAAACTAAAGCTCAATATAAGAGCAAACAATATGCTTCACAGCATTCAACAAATATAAACAAGAAAATCAACGGCTGACAGAGCACAGAAAGAAGTACAACAAAGTGGTTAAAAATCCTCAGTTTCCAAACTTTCTCCAAACGTGACCATAAAGTAACCAATCACTGATATTTCTGTTTAGCACTCTATCCTACTGTTGGCATTAAGTAAAAAGAAAAATAAAAAAAATTCAAACAAGGAGTGAATGTAAGAAACAGCGGGTTCTGCTGCAAATCACTGTCATTTCTTAAATCATCAAAACGATAGCTAAAGCAAAAAAACTTATGCCAGATATGGGAGTAAAGGAAGTGAAAATAAGAATTTTTGAAAACAAGATACCTTTAACCGAAGGAGAGTAAGGCGGAATCTTACAACGTTTCAGTCAAAAAAATTCAGTGTCAACATTTATAAGCTGCCATAAATAGTACCGATTGTATGAAAAACTAACGGAAAAATACCAGTGAATTTAATGATATGCGAGAAGAAACCTTGGTTTGGAAAAAAGAGAAAACCTGACCAAATTCAACAACATTTCAACCACTAGCTATAAAAAAAAATATTAAACTTACTTTTTTCCCATGGTTAAAAAAGCTAATTATCAGGTAAAAACTAACCAATGTGGAAAATGAGACATAACTGTCAAAAAGTTCCAACTTTTATTTGAGATAAAAATATGTCCTTAAGAATCCGGAGAGTTTTAATCATCCAAATAAACTACTCAAGAGACTTAAACAAATTACAGTTAGAGAACCTATACTCTTCTACTTTTTAATAACACCACTATCTAAACAACAGACATTAAAATTTTTGCCTAGAATAAAATACAGAATGCAGTAAGTTACGACGAAAAAATGCCACAGTAATATTAAATATTCCGTCCAACAGGTGAGGAACCCTCTAATTTCTTAGAAGGTATGCAAACGAAACGATTCAACATCTTTCATACAAACCAATCATATAACACAAGACGACTACGTATAGAAAAAGTCTTCTCAAAAAATCAAACTTTTATAACTAAAAATCAACACAAAGAACCACTCATAATATATGTACCTAAATCTAATTCTTTATCAAAGAGTAAAAATCTTCTATAAAATTTGATAGTCGCACAATTCAATTATCAAAAACCCAAAAGAATACTCATTTAACCGCTTGCTCCCTGCCCAACCACGACTATCCGTCTAAACAAACTTAGAAAGAAAGCTCAGTAACTGCAAAGACAAACAGAAGCAGCTTTTCAAACTGCCGACTTTCTTCAGCTTCAAGCCAACTGCTTACACAAATCTAATAGTATTCTTAAAATAAATGAAATTTCGCTGCTTTCACAGAACATTTTCGTAGTTACTCTTCAAAATTTGCAAAAAACTGGAATAAAAAAGCCATTTATCAAAAAAATAATCATCAACCTAGGAAAAGTTTGTTATTCATTAGAAAACTTTTTTACCCCTTAAGTAGCTGTAAAAAAACCCATGAAACTCTTCGATCCCTTCCGTAAGGTGCCCAGAAACTACCACGTTAATGACTCATCATGGAAAACCATGAAAACTACATGGACCTAGAAAGTGAAAAAAAATACAATACTCCAGGATGAAAAAACGTGAATATAAGCGAAATGTTTTTGCAAAGAATAAAATTATTCCGAAGAGAGCTAACACTCGCTGCAATGGCTAAATTTAAACAGCGAAAACGACAATCTCCAATACAAATAGAATAAACTGCGGTGATAAAGATCTTTTTAGAATTTCCAGAATAAACTAGAAGGATATTACATCTTACAGTACTTGCAGAAGAAATTCGATACAAAAACTGCATTCAGTTTCTTTTTATCTTGAAATAATGTTCAATACAGACCCATTTCAATAGCAGAACATAAGTTCTTTGCTAGTTCTCATTTTACCTACACGCCACTGAAACAATGATGTTAACAATTACACAGATAAAAACAGATACACATACTGACATACGATAAACGTTTTGAAACAACTTAAAAAGCTCCTATTATTACCGTCCCTTTATGGTTTTTCACAACGGAAGAATTCATTACGACATTCTTAGAATTAAAATTTTACGTTCTTTCCGCTGTAAAGTCGTCGTAAAACACATTAGAAAGAAAAAAAGAAATGCAATAAAGTGTAGAGAAAAAAAATTTCCTACTAATGCTTGAAAAAACCTGAAATCCGCAACAAAATTCAAACCAAGTGCACTTTTCCAAACATACAAAGTTACAGGTATACATATACATATGAACACGCGTAATCATAGATGTATACCTTAACGCAGTAACACAAGCAGAAAAACAGAGATGCAATTGATTTTTCAAAAGCCAAGGTTCAGAAATAATAAACTGTAGTACCCAACAAAAACTACATCGCAAAATCCCTTATTATGCGCCATCAACTGAACTCAACGCAATTAATCAATGTTTCCTTCGCTAATATAACAGCCTAAATAAAACGATAATGAAAAAGACCACAATAATTCAGCATCTTAAAACTTGACATAAATTAAGATATAAGACGAAATTAGGTTAACAGTACAGTTCTTGTTATAAAAGCAAGAAAAACTTGTAAAACCAGCACTCTGTTCGCCGCTCAGAATGCTGTGCAATAATAAAACGAAACCAATGAAGAACGGTATCTAATAAAAATTTTCTTTTCTTCCTCTTTTTTTTTTTTTTCCTTTTGAGATTCCCAAACCCTTCTCGCTGTATCAGAGATAAGTGACTCGAAAAAATAAATAAATGAATAAAAATAAACAGTATGATCAAGTGAATTTTTTTTAAATTTTATAAATAAACTACTTCCCAAACCTTCTCCCCTTCTCACACCTAATTGGTACTCTGTGCCCAAAGAAGAAAAATCTTGGAAAATAGCTAGTTTACTCCAGCGTAAAATTCGCTTACACTCTTTTATATAGATGAGAAAGAAGCGTATCTTAAAGTATTAATAATAAAACAGATGTTAGCCAAAAATGATTTACATTATCTGAAAGTCAGAAAAATAAAGTACAAAAGATAAACAGAAAATAATCAAATCAGATTACTGAACAAGTAGTAATATCTTGCAGAAATAGATGCAAAAACTAAATAGCACAAATGAAACTGCAATTTCTCTCTTTTCAGAATATAATCTAAAAAACAAAAACAAAAAATAAAATATTTAAAGTTAAGCGTGATTCACACCAACGAATGTGACTGAAAGCTACAGAATAAAACGAAGTAAAAGCAAAAAAGAATCAATAACCGGCAATTTTTCAACGTGCTACAAATAGAAAGATACCAAAAAGAAAATGCAGGTAATAATAATAATAATAATAATAATAATAATAATAATAAGACAATAATAATAAATTAATTTTGAGATTTTTCGGAATCAGCTAATAATAGTAATAATAATAATAATCGTAATACTAAGAATAAATAAAAATAATAACAACAAAAATAAAAGTAATAATAATAATAGTGATAGTAGTAGTAATGGTAATGATAATAGTAATAGTAATAGTAAAAAGAATGATAACAACAACAATAATAATAATAATAATAATAATAATAATAATAATATGTTGTTCAAAAACAATTTCAGTTTACTCACCTCCCTCAATAGCCTTCCTTCCATTATTACTTACTGAAGGTTCAATTTGATGATATCGCTGTTCCCTTTAACTAGTCATAACTCGATGGTAGAACCACTGATAAAAACTAAAAAAAAACGCATGGACCAAAAACAAGATGCAGAAAACCAGTCAACCAGTAAACAATTTTTCTTCTCCTTCGAGCTTCAGCGAAAACAGTAGCAATACTAATATTTTATACAAGCAAAACGAAAGATAAAATGGATAAAAACAGAATTCTGAACAACAATCAACAAAGCCGTCATCAATGAATACGTCTTCGACCTTTTTCTATTGCCTTATCTCTTTCTCTTTTCTCCTCACGTTGCCCTCGCTGTTTTCCTCTTCATTCCCCACATCGTTTCAACCCTCTCAGCCTTCTCTCTTCTCACTACTCTTTTCTGCTTTCGCACATTTTCCCAAAAATAGCCGAATAAAAAAAATGTGAAAAACCAAAGTGATACACTGGCTACATAGATACCGCAGCAGAGAAACCCCATTTTTATTTTTAATATAACAACGCTTGACAACTGCTTTAAAAACGGCTTCAATACATGGATGTTTTTTTCGCCCTTCTCGTTTCCGCTGCTACTGCTGTTGTTTTTATTGTTAAATCTGAAAAATAATGCGGCTTTGCAACAAGCTGCAATACTTGACGACAAGAATGAATGAAAAAGCGAAAACGATGCCATGGGAAAGTTGAAAAAACTCATCGAATACTTGAAACGAAACTACACAACTCAGAGGGAAAAACCGCACAAAATTCAGATCTCAAACTAGTACAGAAAGTAGGTTAGTATAAGGAGTTTTTTTTTACTTCAACTTATAGAGCAAAAAACAAATGCATTTTCTGGATCAGTACTGCTGATTTCATAAGTGACACAAACATAAATGCTATAAATACTCAACTCCCATCAGTCTGAGCAGCAAATTTTGTGCTTCAAGAATTAGGAGAGGACAACAGCATTCAACTCCCCTTTTCGCTCCTTCACAAAGTCAAAAAGCAAAGTAAATAAACAAACTAAAAGCTATCAGGGAAGATCATTGAATTACAACGCCAAAAAAAATTAATTTTTTCTCTCTTTTTTTTTTGGCACCGTAAAACAGAACC